TTTTCAAAAATATTTTAACCTGGTACTCAAATGAAGCGAAATTATATAAATATTTCAAAAATAATATTCATTTCGAAATATTTTTAACTTATCAAAATTATCATAAAAAAACATTAGAAATGCATTTTTTTCATTTTTTCTTAAAAAACACAATTTTTTATGTAATAAAATAAAAAATAACAATTTTGTTTCGAAATGAATATTATTTTTAAAATTTTTACATAATTTCGCTTCATTTGAGTACCAGGTTGACATATTTTTGAAAAACTTTTTTTTCGAAAATATTAGGGACCCATTAAATATTCGAGGGTCTTGAGGGACCCCTTAAAAAATTTTTTATTCAAAAAAAAATTAAACCTAGTGTTTTTGCATTAGTTAGAACACATTTAAGGGGTGAGAGCATATTATTTTAAAAAATGTTGTTTTTTGGGACACCCTAATATATATTTATATATATATATATATATATATATATATATATATATATATATATATATATATATATATATATATATATATTAATATATATATGAGTGTGTGTGTGTGCGTTTGTGTATAGGAAGCAATTATTTACAGTTTTTGGCGTTAGACAAAAATCCTATAATTTTCTTGAACTTTACTTGTTTCTATATTTTTTTTAAGGTTAAGCATGAAACTTGAGATTTTTTGCTTTATTCAGTTAAAATCTACCTCTTTTCAACCATATATAGGAAGTACTATTTACTATTTTATATACTATTTATATGGCTTCACTTATATATTTTACTTTTCAGAGTTTTAGAAAAAAATTATATTCCAACTTGCTGAAATGAAAAAAATTTTAGTAGATAGAACTGCACTGTTCTCTAATAATCCAGAAGAAAGTTCAAGAAAATTATAGAGTTTTTGTCTAACGCCAAAAACTGTAAATAATTGCTTCCTATAACAAACGCACACACACACACACTCATATATATATATTAATATATATATATATATATACAGGCTTCGGCAGGAATGACGGGCTATAGCCCGTGTCCGTCTCCGCACCCGTCTAAGTCAGTTTAGACGGGCGAAATAAAGCCCGTCTGAAACATAAGTTTTGTGTAAAAAAAAAGATGAATATTTTGATGTCTTTTTATTAAGATACTCTTTTAAAACTTCTCTCATGACATAATTTTAATATGGATAGCAAACTCCAACTTATAATTGTTTATATTTAAATATAAAAATTAAACAATTTAATCATTATTGTATAACATGATGTAGAAAATAATATAACTAAATCTTACAGTTTTTTAAACGACGATAACTGTTTGATATAATACCAAATAGCTACCATATTATGTTCAAAATTTAATAACTATTATATTAAATAGGGAAATATACACATGTGATGCACAAGAAGTATCATGTTGTTTTGGTTTTTCAATGTTTATAATAATAACGATAACAAACTAATTATCCATGTATTTCGCTTTTTTCCGATAAACTAGTTTGTCTTACTTTAAAGACATTTAAAGTGATATTTCCGCATTAACTTCCGCGTTAACTTCACGTTTTTTCTTAAAGAGACGGCAGTTTATTTAATATGCAATTATATAACTCGTTATTGAAAATGAAATATCTCATTAAAAATCAACAAACGTCTAATCAATTTTTGTAGATAATATAAATAGTGTTGCTTTATAGTTATGAAGTTATTCAAGTTATCCAGTCATTCAAGTTTTTCAAGTTATTCAAGTTTTTCAGTAAAGATAGTAATGGCATCATCTGGTAGAAGAGTTACATTAGCAACATTTTTGAGTTGGGGTAAAGATGGAGTCTGTGGAAAAGAAACTGAGGCGATGAATGGAACAATTTTTGTTGTGAAGATATGGTGTATGGTTTGTATAAAATATAAAAAAGAATTGCTTCGCGAGTTAAAAGGTCTGGCAAAATCAAAAGCATTAGCATTTATAGAGGGCACTACGAACGTTAAAGCTAGCAACATACATACGCTTATATACATGCTTATATTGTATATAAAGTAACGGAAGCCCCGGTATCTTAAGAAATTATTAGTACTTCTAAATAAAAACTTATTTTATTAAAAGAAATTAGATTTCAAATTTTTTATTCACGTATCAGAATAACTATTTCCGATCAGGATAGGCATAGGTAAAGCAAAGTTATAAAAATATAAATAACAGTTTAAGTTTTTAATTTGCACGCCCAATAGAATGCAAGAGTATATAAATAATTGAATTTGAAAAATAACATAGTTACGTATCATATTACCAAGCTAATACCAAACAATTCTAAAACTATCGAGCTCATTGATTCAAGGTTTAAAAAAAAAAAAGATTTCAAACTATTTGCTGAATAATTAAAAAAATTAGATTTTGAAAATATTATGTAATATTTTTATTCACAAAGAATAAGAGAAACGAATGAACTAAAAAAGCACGATAAAAACCTGTATAATTTAATCGAATACTTGAATAAAACAAAAATATATAAATATACTCAAAAAGACTTTGGTAAAAAAACACGTTAGGATGCTTGAATAAGGAAACGTGATGAAACGCCATGGTTGTTCGAGGATTTTTCCCGTCGTTTTCACGTTCATTCGTTTGACTATATCTGCCAGATATTATCTGGAATAAAGATTAAAAAAAAAACATAAAAAACTGAATAAAGTTCCTTCGAGTAAGAAATCTAAACAAAAGCAACCATAAAACAACTAACCCACGTGAAACGAAATTAGATCTGTGCAAGTGAAAACTTTGAAAAACAATTATTGAAATCTTAGTTTTAAGTATTATCCAACTCATTTACTGCAGTGTTTTAGCTACTTAAGTAATTAAGCATTTTAAACAGTTAATCGCTTTCTAACATATTATTTTAGTGCAACTCACAAAATGTTCAATGACATTTTCATTCAAAAAGAAGAAGAGAAATTAACAAATTTTAAAAAAAAAAAGTTCAAACTTTAGAATTTTTTTTAAAGTTTAAAAAAGCCCGTGCAAGACCATATAGACGGGCGGCCCTCATAGCCCGCCAAGTCTATTTAAGACGGGCTTTTCATAGCCCGTACGGTTTTTATTCCTGCCGAAGCCTGATATATATCAGGCGCGGATCTAGGGTATAGCCGTTGCGGCTAAGGCTACACCTTAAAATAATCAACGAAATAAAAAACAGTATAATACTCCGACATATTTTCAAAATAAAAATAATATAAATAATCAAGATAAGTTTATTTTTATTTGCTGTGTAAATTCGGCTTAAAAAGCGATAACTTAAAACCAATGACGTAAATAAATAACTAGATGTCTAACTTCGGGATTTTTATAAAATAAAAGTGAAGCCGATTTATTTGTTTACTATTTTAATCAGCCATTATTATATCGGGCAGAAAACAGTAAATATCATATATAATATAGAGAGTAAATTCGCGACATAATTTCTTTTACCTTGCTGAAGTATTTATTTAATTCAACTATTTTCATCACAAAATGGTAAATTCTTGTGCTGCATATGGATGTTCTAATAGATACATAAAAGGTGGCAAGAAATCCTTTCATAAATTTCCTTTTCAAAATTCTGAATTATGTAAAAAATGGATTATTGCTTTGAAACGTGAAAATTTTCTTCCATCCAAACACACCTGTATCTGCAGCGACCATTTTTTAGAATCAGACTACAATTACTGTATCCCAGACAAAAAAAATCTAATTCTTGATCATTATCATAAGCCTATTTTAAAATGTAATGCTGTGCCATCAGTTTTTGTATTTTCTACAAATATTCAAAAGACTAAAAGGAAACTCCCATCAATACGAACATCAGTAAATTCATAATCTAAATTTGATTCTTTTTCGAAAAAAACAAAGTTTGATGTTTGCCCTGTTATAGACAAACCAAGCAAAGAAATTAATTCAACACATAATGATCAGCCAGAAAGCACTATTGAACAAAATGACCACACTAGTCAATCTCCAACACAATCTATAAAATCTTTATCACCAGCAAAGGAAAAATTAAAAAAAAAGTTAAGGTTTTACAACAAAAATTAAGAAGAAAAGAAAAGAAAATCTGCTCTTTACAAGACATGGTTTCCCTTTTAAAATCTAAAAATTATTTGACTACTGATGCTGGAACTGTTTTAAGCGAAAATTTTTCTGGACTCTCATATGAAATTATTAAGAACCAATTTTCCAATCAAAATATTAACCCAAAAGGTCACAGATACAACGATGAAGTAAAAAAATTCGCTTTAACTCTTCATTTTTATTCTCCTCGTGCGTATAACTTTCTTCGGCCAATGTTATGTCTTCCTGCTGCCAGTTCAATATCACATTGGACATCATCTGTAAATTGTGATCCCAGTTTATTCCTTGATGTTTTTTCATATCTTGGTGATAAACAGAAAACAGATATTAATTTTAAGCATTGTGCTCTTATTATTGATGCTATGGCAATCAAAAACAGTATAATTTATGACAAAAGTTCAGGTCACTATATTAGTTTTTGTGATTTTGGTAAAGATATTTCTGTATGTGAACCTGATACTCCAGCTACAGAGGCATTAATTTTTATGTTAGTTGGTTTGCGAGGACATTGGAAAACACCCATTGGTTATGTTTTATCAAATAAAGTTAAAGCAAGTGACTTAACATGTTTTATCAAAAATATTTTAGATGTGGCTTTGACATATGAACTTTGTATCAAAAGTATTACATTTGATGGTACTAGTACAAATTTAAATCCCGTTGTCACATTTGGATGTAAGTTTGGCAATGTCATAGACAATATAGTTAGTACTTTTTTATATAACAACCAACTGCTCCACATTTTCCTAGACCCATGCCATATGCTTAAATTAGCTAGAAATTCTCTAAATGATTTGGGTGTTTTTATTGATGATGAAGGCTGCTATATTAAATGGAGTTATATTAAAGCTTTGTTTGAGTTACAAGAGCTTGAAGGTTTAAAATTTGCAAACAAAATTTCAAGAAAACATATTGAATTTCATCGCCACAAAATGAATGTTAAGATAGCTGGCCAAACACTTAGCAGCTCTGTTGCTGATGCAATTGAATTTTTAATGGTATCGCAGCATCCATCTTTCTTAGGAGCAAGTAGTACAATCCGTTTTATAAGAGTTATTGATAAATTATTTGACATGCTTAATTCCAGAAATCCAAATGGTAAACACTTTAAGAAACCTCTATATCTAAATAATCAGCTTTATTGGAAAGATTTTTTAAACACTACGATTACTTATCTGAGCAAGTTGACTGATATTAATGGCATTCCATTGCTTTTACATCGAAGAAAGACATTTGTTTTAGGTTTAATTGTAGATGCTAAAAGCACTCTAAAATTATCCTTCGATCTGTTAACACTTCATGAGAAGCCATTTAAGTATGTTCTAACTTACAAATATTCCCAAGATCATCTTGAACTACTATTTGCTTGCATTCGTGGAAAAAATGGTTACAACAACAATCCTGATGTAGTGCAGTTAAAATCATCGTTAAAACGGATTCTTCTGCGAAACTCCATTGTTGGATCGAGTCATGCTAACTGCCTAATGTTTGAGCCATATTCTAATGGCTTTATTTTTTCTCTTAGTTGGAAAAAAAGGTTGTGTTCTGTTGATAATTTTGACCAAGAGGATATTGACTTTGAAGAAGTGCTTTTGTACTGCGATGAACTTTAAATGTCTAGCTACAAAGAAGCAATATTGGGATATATTTCTGGTTTTATAGTCAGAAACTTGATAAATACTATTTCATGTAATGTTTGTGCTCAATCATTAACTGATATTTTATCATACGAACATTCCTATGCGAAATCTCATTCTTCGTTAAATAATGTGAAAAATCGTGGTGGTTTGTTTTTGCCATCAAGGGATGTTGTTTTTGTTGTAGAGATGTGTGAGAAAGTATTTAACTTCTTTATTAGTGGTAAAGATTTTAAAAATCCAAAAATAACCTCAGATAAAAATATAAAGCATAAGATGCTCTATTGTGTTAACAAATTAATTATTAAAACAAGTCTTTAAAGGACTTGATAGTCACGACATAGAATTGTGGACTGAAAATGAAGATTTGCATTCCAGCCAGCTTGTTAGAAAGATATGTGAATATTACTTTAGAATTCGAATGTTCAGATATGCCCAGGACTATACCACTAAAGTTCTAAGTAAGTCGTCAATTGGTTTACGACAACAAACAAATAAATTAATATTGTTCAAGGGTTTATGAATATTTCATTTTATTGTATAAAACTTTAATTAAAATAATAAAATATGTTATACGATGTTTTAGTTTGATGTTCTAAATGCAAATATGTTTTTAAATATATATTTTTGTGGCTATAAAAATAGCCGTTTGTTTTAGTTTGTTTTAACAAACTTAACATGCTAACGTTAGCATGTCCAATCTTTGACTAACAAATATGTATGTATTGACTGTATGCTCACTAAATTGATCGTTTGTGATTCTAATCATCTTTAATTCCAAGAATAAGGACGTTAAAATTGCCAATATCTTTTTATAAGAATGTGATCGCTAAAAGCTTTTTGCCCGATATAATAATGGCTTCCAACGCATTAAATTGGCTTCACTAAAAACGGCGAAGTTAGATATCTAGTTATTTATTTACATCATTGCTTAAAACTAAAAAAACCGGAATTAAAAAAAAGATCGGTCATTGCATATCGGTTTGTGGCTGAGCCACCAACGACCTGATTTTACGACATAAGCTGACTAAATTATTGTTTTTTTTAACGTAATGTATTTTTATTGAAAAGTCGTATGCCTTCCACGGGTACCCTGAAGGTGACCTAAGACCTTATATCATATCCCATGAATTTTTTTTTTTGATTTTGAAAGTAGTCCATGAGCACATTCCAAAACTACTAAAAAGTAAATCATTTTTTGGTAGCTTTTTGAGAAATCTAAGCTTTAAGACATGTTTTAACTAGAGATTAATGCCCCTCTGACTCGCCCTAAGACCCCTGCAAGTGGATTAAATAGCTGTATATAATTTGTTTGGTTGTTTGATCTAGTGGATTGACAATTTGAGGATCGTATTTTGATATAAATTCTGATAATAATTTGGGCATTCTAGTCAGATTATTGACTAATTTATCACTTCTTAAAAGTTAGCTTTCTTTTTTATTTAAGAGGATAATGTAGGTCTACAGGAATACAATGCCCATATAGAATCATCTTTGGATTTGTAATGAAAGAATTCTAAATAAAATAGTTTTATTTATAAAAAAAAAAAGGAAATATTTACTAACAAAAAATACTACATTTAACTATAAATGGATTGTGTTGTACACACAGACAGCTCTTCGCAAGACTTCTTTAAAATTGGCGTTGTATTGTCCTACCTTTCGTATTTCCCAAAACTGTTTGAAGTCTTGATGGACTGATTCCAATGCTTGCTCAGTCCAATACCCTAAACCTTAATTCAAAATATTTAATATTATTATTTTTATATGTTAAAATTTAAAAAGTTATCAGTTAATTTTCTAAATATGCACTTACCAAACTTTCCTCCTTTCATAACAATAAACTCTTCAACATGATGCTCCACTATATGAACTTTAAGAGGAATGTTTGAACCAAGATCTCTGAATCTTTGTGAAAATCTTTTAATATAATTAGAGTAGTTTGGATTTAATATTTTCCCAAAACACTCGTGAACAACATCGCTAAAGTCTCTCAAAGCTTTCATATATTTGCCACCAATAATATTGTGCTCATCCAGATATATTTGAAAGCAATCAAGTTTTTTTAAAAACTTGTTGGATGCATTTCCTTCTAACCTGTGTTTACCTTGATAAGGTACTCTGGCAAGATTAATTGTAGATAGATAACTATTTACAAAATTAAATCCTTGATTAGTGTCCTCAAACAAGTTTTTTTCAATTATTTTGAGTAACTTGTCTACTATGCCTAGCAAAATATGTAAGCCTGGTATATTAACAATTTCTAAGATCTTCTTTGTTACATTTCCAGTCAATAAAGGAGGATTAACTACGTTACTTAAATTTTTAGCTTTTGCAATGTTTCCTCCTGCAGCCATCCATTTGTTACACCACTCACACAGAGAAGTTAGAGAATATGACTTAGCTCTCAGCATATTTGGCGATTCTGTTTCACAAAATGGGCAAGGATGCTTCGAAGCTGCTGACTGCTTTCCAACCATCAGAAGAAGAACCTTTAGATCTTCTGAAATAGAGTAATCCAGAGAATTAAGTTTTAATTTATCCAACAACATTTTTATGTTTGCATAATTTTCATCAATAGAGGGTAATACCGCCAAAACTAAAGCTTTGTGAACACTAGTATACTTGAATTCTTTAAATCCATACTCATCAGAATATTTCACTCTTTTCTTTTCAATTGAATGTACTTCAAGCTCTGGCTTTAATGTGATTGATAAAGTAGCCTTAAGATAGCCTTGCCCTCCATCTACCCCAATCTTAACATCAACATTCTCTGGTTCAAGAGATCTACGTCGCAAAACTGTTGCAACAAACTCATCAACATTATTGCAAATTACACCAGGAATAGTTCTTTCAATACACTAAATAATTACAAAACAACTTTAAGTCCAAGGATGATGATTTATTTTAAATTATCAACTTTCAAATTAATCAAATACAAAAATATAAAATTAAAATGTTGCATAGAATAATATTTTATTATAATATATTATTTTTATAGAGCTTTTTAAGAAACTGAAAATCTTTAGTTAAAGTAAAACACTATATATATATATAAATATATATATAAACACTATATAATATATATATATATATATATATATATATATATATATATATATATATATATATATATATATATATATATATATATATATATATATATATATATTTAGTTATACCACTTTTTTATTATCTCCAGTATTCTGTTTTGACTGGATCAGCATAAGCTCAGCATCAAACAAAAACAATAGATTTTTGTTTTCTTCGGTTAACTTTTCAGAATAACAAGGCTCAACAGATTTTCTTCCTCCATTCACTCGTATAAATCGGGCAATTTCTAACATCTTATTGTCACTAGTAAATTTAATACAATGATAAAAACAGTAAATGATTTTTTAAAATAAATTATATTTCTTGAATTAAGTAGTAGACAATCTATACCTTGTATGAAGTTTGCTCTGTAGTTGTTTCAGTTTTGAATGTGAAAAGTACGGTGTTTTCGGTTCAACTACTCCAATAGAAACAACAAGCTTCTTAGGGCCTAAGGTGTTCAATGTTATTTTTGCATCATGGGTTACTAAATTGTTGATTGTGGTGGATAAAACCTTTTCTTTAGTAACAGGTAAGGTTGATTGTACAATATGCATCAAATTCCTTTGCTTAGCTAACTTTGTGCAAGGATGTTTAATACCTTTTCCAATTTGTTGAAAACAACTTCTGCAAAGAACAAGATTTTCATTGGTAGTCGAAAAATTCAAATTACTGTGACTTTGATCAATATCTGCATTAGTTTCACAAGATACCATTGGTGGAAGAGTTGCTGTTTCAGTACCATTTTTACGCCCATTAACACAAATAAAACACTCACATTTCCCACCTCGAATAACTCTAGTATTAAGACCTAAAAGTAATAAAAAGTTATTTTTTTAGTGCAAACAAAATATTGTTTATAAGAAAAACAATAATAATGCAAAACATAATTGGTTTTTATTGGCTTATTTTCTTATAAAACTTACCTTCGTACTTAGGTCGAGCCTTGAATAAAAATCTTTTTGAATCTGTTTTTTCTAAACTCACTAGATTTTTTCTGCAATTAGAACATAACATTTTAGGCAGATCCGGGTTTTCAACAGAGTAGTTTTCCCAAAAAAATCTCTTGATAAAATTTTAATAATTTTTTGCTTGTTTTGGACCTGGTTTATTGCATTTGGTTTGAATGCATCTTAAATCATTACTTTTTTTCATACAGCATATGCAAAAGCATTTTAAAAACTCGTTATGATCTTTAGCAAAGTATGGCATTTCTTTTATATTATTGAGAAATAGTTCCTATATTTTTTAATTTAAATTCAAGTCAATATAAGTATTTTACTTAATTAATAAAATAAAATCGCGTTATTGCTAAAATGTGTTTATAAATATTGTTAAAGTCTTTTAAAGCAACAACAACTATAAGCCAATCGGAAACTAATAAATATTATTAAAGCCAATCACGCTGCTGCAATTGCAGAAAGTAAACAACTATAATGGCTGACGGAAAAGTATTATTTTAATACGAAAACATCGTTATTTATAAAACTTCTTACTAAGTTTTCTAAAAAAGCTACCAACAAATGATTTAAATTTTGATAGTTTCAGAATGTACAAATGTACTACTTTCAAAAACAAAACAAAAATTTCACGGGACTTGATATAAGGTCTTAGGTCACCTTCAGGGTACCCGTGCTTCAACACTCGTAGCCCGTGGCTAGATTGCTTTTTGCCTTGTGGCTGTACTTATTTCCCAGACTTTTTATACCCAGCTATATTTAAATAAGGAAAGCGCCGTTATTATTTTCTTAGTAAGTTGGTAATCATGGCGTATATGTTTTGAAAAAAAACTGTTCCAAACGCTATTGATTCACATTCATAACATTAAATGTTGCGAAAAAAATTGTTTACAAAACGAAATGGTTTGAATATCTCACCAGTTTAATTTTGTAGTTAAACTTTTGGCTTGAAAATGCCCTGATGTAAATGTTTTTATGCCATATTTTAAAATGGATCAAGGTTTTGACAAAACTTTTGTAGCTTCAAGGTATATTTTTAACTATGTTTTCACGGACTATATTTGTAATAAAAATAACTAGCCTTTTATAGCTGTAACTAGTTTATTTATATAAAAATTTTATTTTTTTTGTGCTTATTGTTTTAAAATTCTTATAACATTTAACTAAAACACTATTATTTTATTAAACAGGTTATTAATATAAATAATAGTTTTGCCACGGAGCTATATAAACAATTTTTATTTTTTTTTGCTATTAATGTAAATAATTAAAATATTAAATTTTTATTTCTTCAAAAAAAATTTTAATCTTCAAATTGAAGCTTTAATTAAAGAGGATCTTATAAGTTGATTTTATTGTTAATTAGAATCAAATATAATACAGTATTGGAGACTATAATATAAGAGTCTCTTGTATTATAGTCTCCAATATTGTATTATATTTTTATTTTATAATATAATATTTTCTTACTCTTTCTTGAGAACTCTCTTGAAAAGAGTTCTCAAGAAAGAGTTGAAAAAATATTGTTGAACTACTTAATTTTGGAATTTATGCAGGTTACACTATCTTATAAAATCATTTAATATCTGTCTCTAAAAATGTTACATTATTTCTTAAACCGCACAAAAACAACTTATGGAGTGTTGTAGAGAGGCTTTTGAGAAGATTCTTATTTCTGAAATCAATAATAGTAAATACTATTCAGTTTTAGCTGATAAAGCATCTGATTGTGCCAATCTTAAACAGTAGTCTATCGTTATAAGATATAAATAACTATAATACTCGTAAAGATTTCTTAAGGTTTGTTGACTGTCTTTAATTATTTAAATGTGCCCTTAGTCAGAAAATACAGGCATGTTTAAATAATTATCTTTCTGTTGAAAAAGCAAAGCTAATCAATTTTGTTTTACTTGTTGGGTTTGAAAACAGAAAAATCTAGGTATTTTTCTTTTAGTCTCCTCATAGTTGATATTTGAATTTTATTTAAATGTAACTTTAGTTTTAACCAAAATTAACAATTGGTCTAATATTGCTTTTGAATTAGCTCTTACTTTAAATGTAAAAGAACAAAAAAACTAGAAAATGTGGAAAGCAAATCAATCATGATAATCACTCATCATCTGATTATTTTAAGCTTTCTATCACTTTACCTCTACTGGCCCATCTTGTTAATGAACTTCTTAATTATATAAAATTTCAAACAGAAAGCAAGTTGGTTTATATGCGATGTGTGCAGTTCCAACTGTCATGTTAAGCTACTTGAAAACTAACTAAGATTTGCAAATCTTCAGGAATTTCTAGATATCTATCATTCCAGCTCTGCATTCAACCTTTATTTATGCAGAGTTGGAATATGGAAGCCTATTTAGAAAGATCAGTCAAAACCCCTATCTAGTATTTTATAAACAAAACTCATGACAATGACTTATTTCCCCAACATTCTTGAATATTTTAAAGGTTTAATTCTAGGTACAATACCAAGAGATTAAAAACTTATTCAAGAAGTAGAGTGTTAAAAAAGTCATTGAATGACCTAGCTTTAATGTCAATTTATACTGAAATGGTTCTTGATAAAGACGGGTCTTGATAGCATAAAATTTTCAGCTAATGGAGAGAGATGTTTAAAGTTGCTATTTAAGCCTTAAATAATTGGCTATGATTGAATAATAATTATATTTATATGTCAATAAAATAATTGAATCTCTCTTATATTCACAATCATTTTTTTATTTTTTTCATTGTTTAATTTACTCTTAGAGCATCTTTTTTTATTTTTTATAAATGTTAAATAAGTAAATTTATTTTCTATTTTGTGTAGATTTCATAATCCTTGACATCTAAAATGTAAAATGTTTTAAAAATTGTTCTAAACTAAATAATGTAAACCACTAAATAAAAAATTTAAATATGTGTTGATTTCATTTGAGTATGCTACAAAAAGAGTGCTCGATAATCATAAAAAACAAAGATTTTATAAATTAGCTTCCTGAGGATTCTATAGATAATGAGACTGTTCATATCCTTTTTTCAATATATATTTATATATAGTAATATACAACTTTAATATCTTAGTAATATATAAGTAAATATCTTTTGAATAAGTCACGATATCATATTGTTAATGCAGTGATAGTTGCACTTATTCTATTAGTAACAAAAATATAAAGGAAAGAATCCAGAATTAGAGAGCTAACTTTAGACAGCATAACAACTTACATATGGAGTGCAAAGTCCTATGGCTTACCTTCTAGTTGGTGCACTTCGTTAAGTAAATTAGACATGTCTAAATTACGAACAGAATAGCCAAGGCAAATTTTATATTTTACCATTAATTATTTTACTAGAATCCATTAAAAATAAATGAAAAAAGTATGTGTGCAAAAACTGAATTAAAAACGCTCAGATAAAAAAACTGTCTGGCGGCATCTACATGACGTAATTGTCGAACGTCTTTTTGACGTAGACTAACCGACTTATTAATTTTGACGTAATTTTACAAGTTTTAGCTACACCTATATAAAATCCTAGATCCGCCCCTGTTATATATATATATATATATATATATATATATATATATATATATATATATATATATATATATATATATATATATATATATATATATATATATATATATATATATATATTCATATATATATACATATATATACATATATATATATATATATATATATATATATATATATATATATATATATATATATATATATATATATATATATATATATATATATATATATATATATATATATATATATATATATACAGGCTTCGGCAGGAATGACGGGCTATAGCCCGTGTCCGTCTCCGCACCCGTCTAAGTCAGTTTAGACGGGCGAAATAAAGCCCGTCTGAAACATAAGTTTTGTGTAAAAAAAAAGATGAATATTTTGATGTCTTTTTATTAAGATACTCTTTTAAAACTTCTCTCATGACATAATTTTAATATGGATAGCAAACTCCAACTTATAATTGTTTATATTTAAATATAAAAATTAAACAATTTAATCATTATTGTATAACATGATGTAGAAAATAATATAACTAAATCTTACAGTTTTTTAAACGACGATAACTGTTTGATATAATACCAAACAGCTACCATATTATGTTCAAAATTTAATAACTATTATATTAAATAGGGAAATATACACATGTGATGCACAAGAAGTATCATGTTGTTTTGGTTTTTCAATGTTTATAATAATAACGATAACAAACTAATTATCCATGTATTTCGCTTTTTTCCGATAAACTAGTTTGTCTTACTTTAAAGACATTTAAAGTGATATTTCCGCATTAACTTCCGCGTTAACTTCACGTTATTTAATATGCAATTATATAACTCGTTATTGAAAATGAAATATCTCATTAAAAATCAACAAACGTCTAATCAATTTTTGTAGATAATATAAATAGTGTTGCTTTATAGTTATGAAGTTATTCAAGTTATCCAGTCATTCAAGTTTTTCAAGTTATTCAAGTTTTTCAGTAAAGATAGTAATGGCATCATCTGGTAGAAGAGTTACATTAGCAACATTTTTGAGTTGGGGTAAAGATGGAGTCTGTGGAAAAGAAACTGAGGCGATGAATGGAACAATTTTTGTTGTGAAGATATGGTGTATGGTTTGTATAAAATATAAAAAAGAATTGCTTCGCGAGTTAAAAGGTCTGGCAAAATCAAAAGCATTAGCATTTATAGAGGGCACTACGAACGTTAAAGCTAGCAACATACATACGCTTATATACATGCTTATATTGTATATAAAGTAACGGAAGCCCCGGTATCTTAAGAAATTATTAGTACTTCTAAATAAAAACTTATTTTATTAAAAGAAATTAGATTTCAAATTTTTTATTCACGTATCAGAATAACTATTTCCAATCAGGATAGGCATAGGTAAAGCAAAGTTATAAAAATATAAATAACAGTTTAAGTTTTTAATTTGCACGCCCAATAGAATGCAAGAGTATATAAATAATTGAATTTGAAAAATAACATAGTTACGTATCATATTACCAAGCTAATACCAAACAATTCTAAAACTATCGAGCTCATTGATTCAAGGTTTAAAAAAAAAAAAGATTTCAAACTATTTGCTGAATAATTAAAAAAATTAGATTTTGAAAATATTATGTAATATTTTTATTCACAAAGAATAAGAGAAACGAATGAACTAAAAAAGCACGATAAAAACCTGTATAATTTAATCGAAT